TGTTTAGTAAATCAGTCTCAAAACAAGATCAAAAAGACTTTTTGGCTGATATAAGGTTTTAAAACTTGGTAAGATGGACAGTTTTTGCAGTGTAGATGACAGTAAATTCAGAATGAGCATTGCACAGAAGAATCCGTCTTCAAATGGGATTCTTTATCTTATTGTTTACTTTAACACAAGCTCAGGGTTGAATGACTAGAGGACATGTTTGTCATGTGACCTGTTTTTTTCCACAGTGCAGGAGAAATGCCTCATGAGTTACTTAAATGTTTACGCTCTGTCCTGACAGTGCTAATGTACTTCTGCAGGTATATAATGGTTTCAGCGGGTGCTGTCTCCATCAACCACGTTCAAATAGACAACCCGGAGCAGGTACTGATTCCCAAAATTCACATCTTGTCCAATGGACTCACCCTGATCAAAGTGGGCAAAAGGAACTTCTACATCATCAAGTGGCTCAGTTTGTGAGGCTGTCAGCCCAGACTGTAACAGGAGGAACCAAACCTGGGTGAGATCATTGAGAAGATGTTGATGGATTTACACATTAAAAAATAAGAACATTTCCTGAGTTGCTCACATAAATATGTAAATGTAAAGTTGTGCTATTAAAAACATTGTTTAAAAAATATGGTTCATTGCTGACTTTGTTCTGCAGTAGAGTTTTATCAAAGTGAACACCAGAGGGCATCATTGTCTGCGTGGCAGTCTGCAGGCAACTTGATCTGCACCAATTATCCTCAACCCTCAGGGCAAACAGTTGCTCCCTCAAAATAAAGTAAATCTGTTTTTGACACTCTTATGAGGCTAGCATCTGTCTTATCCTTCTTTTAATATAGCATAAGTAATAAACAAACATTAACCTCAGAACAAAGAAGATTTGCTTTTGAATTTATGCTTAAATGATAAATTATGTTTTCCTATCAAATAAGTTTTGGGGTGTTGCTGGCTTTTTAGTAATTAAGTTTGTACATTCTTACAAAAATCGGTTTCTAGCTTTGAGCTTATTGATTTGTTCTTAGCATTTATTGGATAGTTTTTACATTCAGCAACTTCTGCCTCCGTTTTGGGGGTCTCGAGGTTTGTTTTAAAAGATTTAATGGAATCTGTTTTCTTTTATTGGCAGTAAGAGCTGGCTGCACCTGGGAGTTAAAAGTTTTACAGTGGTGTTTTGGAATTTTAACTCGCTAATTAGTTTTAACATCAGCAAATCTGAATAAGTTGAAAGCAGCATCTGTTTTAAAATGTTTAAGAAGTAGTTATTAAAATATATAAAGGAATGCAACATAAGGTATTTTCACGGATCTAACAAGCAGCAATTTGTAACCGAGTTTTATTTTTGAACAAAAAAATTGTTTTTAAAATGACCTCATTAAGAATGAAACGTAGTATTTCTTTTAAAAAGTGACGCTCCTTGGATTTATTTTAATGTACTGTACCTTTAAAAAAAGTAGGCGGGTCTAATCGTTTGACCAATGAGCGGGCTTCTTGGGATTTAAATAGCTCTGCGTGTCAATCATACGCCCCTCCCCCTTCCCTTCCAGTCAGCTCAGCTCTCCAGCTCCACTCCGGCTCTCATCGCCATATTGGGACTGGGAGGTTTGTGTGCAGTCGCTGTGGGCGCGGAGCGGCTCCAGTTCCTGTCTGTCTGCACTTTGTTTTCATGACTCGCGGAGACTTTCTTCGGCTTCAGGACACCGCCGCAGTTTTCGCCCACAGCTCGACGCACGGATGGCGGCATAAGCCGTTTCTGTACGCCTGTTTCGGATCTTGACCCCGGAGGAGATACCCGTTGTTGTTGTTTTTTTTTTCCCTCTTTTTTTTTCTGTTTTTCGTGTATTTTTCTTATGACAACTGGACGCTGTGGGCTGCCTAAAGAAAGCGTCTTTTTCGGGGGTGGAAAAAACATGTCAGGTGTCCGACTTTCAAACGGGAGCCCGACGTTGGAGCGGACGGACTCGCGGGTGGCGGAGCACCCGAAACCGTCCGCCTGCAGGAACCTGTTCGGCTCGGTGGATCACGGCCAGCTGAGCAAGGATTTTAACGCACACATGCGGGAGCAGGAGGCGGCCGCCGCCGCCAAGTGGGACTTTGACTTCGTCAATGACACACCGCTGGCCGACAACCGGGCCAGGTTCCAGTGGGAGCTAGTGAGGTCCTCCGAGCTGCCGGGTTTCTACAGGCGGCCGCCGCGGAGGGACACCGGCGGCCGCTCTGGGAACAACGCTGTGGATCTGAACGGGAACCACCGCTGTGTTCTGGTGGCTTCCAGCGAGGACACCGGCAGGTCTGACGGGCAAACGGACTGCACCGGGCCGAGGAAAAGACCTGCGTGTCATGGTACTACTTTTCCTCTCGCATTTACACGGAACAGACTCTGACTGTAAAACAAACAGCGCGCCACCCCAACTCTTTAAATTAGGATTTATTTATTTAATTATTTATTTATGTATATTGACAGAAGCTGTTTGTGTTTCAGAGCCCTCGCCGCAGAGGAAGCGGTCCCACAGCAGCAGCAGCGGTCCCGGTGAGGTCAGCTCCGGCCTGTCGGTGGAACACACACCCAGGAAGCTCAGTCCCAACAGGCAGACGTGAGGACGGGACAGCGGTAAGAAAACACTAAATAACTAATAAAAAATACAGCTAAACAACACTACTGTATGGTTTAATCAGTTAACTAGAAAATATAGCCCCCTTTTATTTAATTTAAAAACAGCAAATCAAATGAAAGGTAGAAGAAAAACATGTTAATTCTCCAGCTGTGATCATGTTAAAGGACAGCTGTAAACCTAAGTTTTATTTTATTATTCCCCCCTATAATTAAAACATCCCATTAGTTTCAAACATGGTATAAAATAAGAATAGCATTAATAAAGTGTACACTGTTTGTCCAAACCAGTAAGCCACTCCTTCCCCCTTGATTACACAACTTAGAGTTCCCATCTTAAAGTGTGTTTTTAATCATTTATTAAACGTTTCTAATGACATGTATTCAGGTTAGATGAGGACAACAGAAGGTAAGAATGAAAACAAGTAGTGAAAAGTGTCATTTTACTGGTTTGACTGCAGCAGTTTCACTGGTGAGTTTCCTCCTGAACTGTAAACAAGTGTTGAACAACAGTGTAGTAGTAACACGTCAGCAGCCACTGCCCTCACAGCCGAGCAGGGAGGGGGCTGGTCCTGTTACAACACACACACAGACACACACACAGCTGTTTCTGCAGGGAGGACAGACAAATCAACTGGGCCACGTTAATGGGAGGACTGGAGTAGAACCTGTGGCTTTATGAGAAGCAGGACTTCAGCGTGTTTATTTGTTTTATTACACAAGGAATAAATGAAGTTTGGGTTCTCAGGTCGTTTGTGTCTGAGGACCCCCTTACAAGGGTGAAAAAACTTACAGGGACCCCCTCATAACCCCTATCAAAAGATAATTTATTCTCATTTTAACCCCTAAATGCAATGAGAATAGATATTTTTATTAAGTTTATTATATTTGTTTTATTAGTTCATTGTTCTCCGTGCATTTTTAAGAGCAAAAATCAAATAAATATTTTATTAAAACATTTGAGGACCCGTAAAGACCCCTCTCGCGGACCCCAGTTTGAGAGCCTCTGGTTTAGAGGGTTGTAATCTGCATGTGGCTTAGATTAAATTAAAAAAACACGCTCATGGCAGCCGTTAGTTTTCGGATGAATATGCTGATAAAAACGGCAAAATGTAACTTTTTTTCCCCACATTGAAAAAAAATAACTGAAGTGTTTTTACAGTTTTATTAGTGCCTTTTTAAATTTTTTGAATAAAATCCTGGAAACAGGGTAGATATTTTTAAAAATATAAAACCACGTATGTTAAAAAAGTATTTTTATCTTAAAGTGTAATATTTTTCCTTTCATCAGTTTTAACTTTCTTTTTCTTTCTCTCCACATGTTTTGGTTCTGATGGGCAGCACAGAGCTGAAGATGTGCCCCCCCACCCCACGTGTATTTTTATATATTTCCTCCTGCGAGACGTCGGTGTTGGCCGAGGGTCTGGGCCGAGGGTCTGGGCCGAGGGTCTGGGCCGAGGGTCTGCGCAGCATCAGGAACATATCGGCTCTCCTGGAGGCCGGGGGGAGGACGCTGCTGAAGCACTGAATAGAAACACTAAAGTTGTGGCACTCAGTAAAACAAAAGTTACTGCCTCTAACAGCAGATGATGTAGCAGTGTGCAATTAGGTCTAATTTCCCTTTTTGCTCCTTTTTTCATACCTGTGTAAATAATCTAATTAAATATATATAAATATATTTCTCCAAATGTAGCACATATTAAAAAAAAAACGTGATTTCAAAACATCCTTTCTGTAAAAAAGGTGTTGATTTGACTTGAAGTATTGCAGTGTAGTTTTTTAAAAAGTTCTGTTCTAATATTATAATTGTTTTTTCTGAAAGTGGTCGACCCAGTCCCGAATTGCTACACTTTAAAAGAAAATCATGGATTATTATTTTATTTAAAACGGTTTCTGAACAGTGTGTTTTCACTCCGTCATCTTCCTGACTCAGCGGTGAAGAACGGTACAAACGTCGCTCGTTTATTGTAACTTTTTAATCAACAGGAAGCTCTTTTTTATTAAGAGCTGGACTCAGAAAATAACACAGGTGATGTAAAAACTCAAAGTATTTCAGATATTTATTTCATAAAAGATGCTTTAGCATCGTTCAGGCCTTGGATTTTTGTCCTGTTGTGTTTTTGTTGAAGTTACGTTGTAATGTTTGTTTTTCTTTCCCTCGAGCTGCGAGGTACTCAAATACTGAAGAACAAGAACCATTCAGTGTTTTTTTAAAGTCAAATTTACTACAATACCAAAACACATGGTTGCCTTTTGTTTCCATCTTTGCCTGCTTCTTGTTTGACTTCACATTGTGTTTCTTTGTGATAACAATGCTTGCCCCCCCGCCCCCAATCATTGTAAGCCTGCTGAAGATGCGTGTGTCGTATCTAAAAGCTTCCCTTCATTTGCAGAACATGCAGTTTATATTTAAAGAAACCAGGGAGACAAAATCAAGTTAAATGCAGCACTCATGCCTGTGTATTTGTGTAAATTTTGCGATGTACTTTTTGTACATATTTTGTTATAAAACAAAAAAAAAAATACAAAACACTGTAAAATGGACTTATTTATGTCAAGGTTTGTGTGTAGAGTTAAAAGAAAATGGGTTTTGATTAAGGTTATTCAAAGTGGCATTTTTATGATTTTTATTTTTAAAGCATATTTTATTTGGTAGTTTTTTTATTGAGGTTGCAAACTGAGCCTATGTTTTTTTTTTGTTTTTTTTTTTTTTGTTTGTTTTTTTGGTAATATGTGGAATAAAATATGTTGCAATCAATTAAAAGAAAATTAAACCTGATTTGTTGCTTCTTGCTCTTTTTGTGAAGTCCACCACAGCTCCGTTTGTGCTGATTATAATTTACTCGCATTTAAAAATGATAAATAATAATAATAAAATAATTCTTTCCATTGCTGTCTGTAGAGGATGGTTGAAGGCAGCTGTGTGTGAAGAGACACGTCCACCAGGGTTTGTTGAGAGGACAGATGATTGACAGGATGATCATCCAATGAAAAGAGGCGAAGGTAAAACAGACCACCGCGTGCAGCCAATCACATTCAGCCTCTTTACGCTGAGAAACACGGAGCTGCAAAATAAACAAATACAACACAGTACTTTTTTTAAAATTAATTTTTACTGGTCACAGTCTCAGGTGTGTGTGTGTGTGTGTGTGTGTGTGTGTGTGTGTGTGTGTGTGAGAGAGAGAATAAAAACATGCAGATACTGAATTAATACACTTGAATAATTTAAAAATAATAATTACATTTTCTGAATATTTTAAAGTCTGAACAGTTCATTAGAAAAATTTAAAACGTTTGAAAAGTATTTTTCTTAAATTTTGTCGTGTAGTTGACTAAAAATACTTGAGATGTTTTATTTTAGTTATACAGCTTTCACTGTTGAAACCGTCCCTTGTGTTTCTGCTGACACTTACAAATGATTAGATGTTCTGATTTATTATTTTTTTTGTGAATCTTAATGATTCTTTTTTTATCCATTTATTAATTTTTGTTTATTTCTTCATTTTCACTCTAACTTGTACGTTCAGCCAGAAGCTGGTGGTAACATTCAGCTGTTTCTGTCCCGACACGTCTTCACTGCACACGCTTTTCTGCTTCCTCTGTGCCACAAACACAGGAAGACACCTGCAGCAGGCTTTAAAGCTGGGGGTTTGGGGGGGGATTGGCCGGTCTTGAAGTGTGCAGGTGGGCAACCTCAGCTCAGCCGCTCCACCCTGAGCCCGGCCCATTGTCCCAGTGTGTGGGCCTGTGTGCCCAGGGCCTCTGTGAGGGGCCCAGGCCGACCACTGTTGTGTCTGGGACTTCTCTGCTCAAACAAAGGGCCCATCTACAGC